ACCTTCATCGACCCTCCCGAGACGCCCGCCCACCAGTTCGCCGTCAAGGCATTCAAGCACGCGATCTTTGGCACCCCGGCGCCCGAAGACCTCAACAATGCTACCAGAAAGTTCGAGACTAAAGCCAAAATAGCCGCTGTCAACGCCAAATTCACGGATCTGCCAGCGCCCAAGACCGACGACCTTTCCCAGTCGCCCGCGAAACGAGCCAATGGTATTCTCATGACGCCAGGGACAGCGAGCAAAGGAAGGAAGACTGTATCTTTTGGTTCGCAGATTGAGGATAATGAGGGGAAGACGAGTGGCATCAGTAGGAGCGGTATACCAAATAACTGCCCAGGGAAATTTCCGTCGCCATGGACACCAGGCACTGAGCTAAAGTTGGATCCTTCCAGCGACAGGAGGCCCCGTACCAAGCTCACTGAAGCCCTGCTCGACGCGCGCACGACGACACAGCCAAAGTCTGGGCAGAGACCGAAAGCGAGAGATGACAGCGATATCACGATCGATCTTGGTGCACCCCGCTCAGAGTCGGGGAAGTACTGGAAGGAGCAATACGAGAGCTATGCTGAGCGTAGCGAAAAGGAGATGAAAAAGGTGGTTGCGAAGCAGCAGCTCGCCAAGAAGTTCGCTATGAAGAAGGACAGCGAGGTCACTGAGCTGGCTCAGAGGCTCGAGCAGGAACGTAAGCGGTTCCGGTCGCGGGAGAAGGAGCTGGAGCAGCAGAACAAAGATTACCAGGAGCGGCTGCGTCAGGCCATGGCTGAAAATACATCCACAAGCATGGAAAATGCTGCCCTGAAACTACGCGTGGCCACTCTAGAGCAATCAGCAGCAACGACGATGACGGCGACGAAGGCTAGCACGCAGATCAAGCCCGAGTTCTCCATACACGAAGACACAGGCAAAGAGGCAATACGATTACAAAGAGAATCAGAAGCTGCAGCCCAGGCGTCTTTTGCGGCGTCCGTTGGCAAGGAGAACAGTACTCCACCAAGGTCAAGGCGCACTCGCCGTCAAACCGTTCCTGATACTGCCAGCCGAGCCGGCGCTCCATCGAAATTAGGTATAGGCGAGGGCGAAGCCTCGATCATCCTGGCAAAGTCCCCAGCATTCCCCACCGAGTCTAAGAAGCACCAAGAGCAAGCTCAATCAGCACGACCTTCGCGAACACCACTCAGCATTCGCAGGGCTGATCCTGCGAAAGAAAACGCTGGCCCATCCTCACCGGTCCCGATTCTCCCCTCCAGTCCACTACCTATGCCTTCACCAGATCTACCAGACCCCTGGATGAACATGGACGAAAGCTCCATTCCACAGCTGGACAAGAGAGCAATGCCAACAGCAGGCTCGCCGTACGTGAACCCAGCGTGGAACCCGCCATCAAAGAGGCAACGAGACTCCAAGTCAGCATCCCAACCCGCAAGATCAGAGTCCCAGACAATACGCCGCCAGATGGAGAAGGTCGACGCAAAGACAGGAACCACGAAATCTTCTTCCCACGCCGCAGGAAAGTCCTCACTAGATCTCGAAGCGCGTCTGGCTGCGCTGTCTTCGAAATCGAACAGGAAGGCGCAGGCGGAGAAGCCAGACATGCCGGAGACTGACACCCCTAAACACTCTCCTACCGATCCTAAGTTCGACCTCTCGAAGATTACATCACACCATGCAGAGGGCTCCGCACAGGTGAAACAAGACAGGGCAGAGATGTTGCCTGTTGATCGAAAGGCGGAGGCAAGGAGGCGACTTCAGGAAAGAAAGAAGTTGAGGAAGGCTGCTCCTGCGTAATATGATCATGGTGTCGATATTTGGGTTTTTAGGCGCATTAGTAATGGTCGGCATCATATCACCGCTAAGGGACTGGCTTCGGGGATTGTTTTTGGAGCATTGATGTTGGAGTACTGGATGATACCATGCTGTTGAACTATTCATTACCATTTCTTGCAAACTTTTCCTCTCACGCAATGCGTCTATGGGTATCTTCACTTTCCTCTCCCGTACAATATCGTACAACTCTTCATGTGAGCCCAAAGTCAGTCAATGCACTATAATCATGCACTTCCCTATTTCTCAGCAATCGTTCTCAACGCATCCACTACCCCCGGTGCCGCTCTCTCCAGCCCGCTTCTCTCCCTATCTTGCATCTTCCCTAACACATAGCGACTCACCACATTCGGATCCCTACTCTCCGGCCTGCCTATCCCTACCCCAACCCTCCACCACTTAACCCCGCCCAACTGCGCTTGACAACTCTTCAACCCATTATGCCCCCTCGCACTCGCCCCGCTCTCCCTCACACTCACCTTCCCCAGCGCAGACTCAAGTTCATCATGCACAACCACCAATCTGCCCTCTTGATCAGGTTTCGTGCGACGCCTAAGCTCGGCCAACCACGCGGTATACGCTTTCTTAACGCCGACGCCCGAGACGTTCATCAGCGACAGCGACTGCCAGAACGTCCAGTCGTCTTCGGGCGGGCCGCCTTGTGTCTTGGTGTACCCTTTCAGCAACGAGAGGGAGAAGGTGGTGTTGTCAGGCCGTGAGACTAGGCCTGAGAGCCCTTTTGTAAAGGGTTGGTACGATTTGCGGTCCGCGATGTAGGATGTGACGATATGGCCCGCGCTGTGCAGAGTGTTGGCATATGTGGGGCCTGGGTTGCCGATTGAGCATACGAGGAGGGGAATTGGATTGCCCGGGGGCATGACGACGGTGGGGGGTATGGATGCTGGTATCGAGGTAGTCTCGTCGGTGTTTGTAGGACGAGGTTTTCGGTTTTTGGGCGGGTTGTTGGCAGGCTTCGATGCAGGCGATTCGGTTTCGGAGGATGTGTCTGGCGGCGTGGGAAGAGACTGCTGAGTCTTCTTCTGTTTCCGCGCTTCGCGTTTGTTCAGGCCGGAGCGCCGGTTGATCGTGTCGTTGCTGAGGTATTGTGTTGCAGGGATGTTTTGCGAATCGGAGACTAAAGCTGTGCCGGTAGGGCTGGCCACGTGCGCACGTGTTGGCGCGTTCGACATAACGGCGGAAAAGGAAAGATTTACACTGAGGCTTGGGAAGAGTAAAGAGACACTACTTATTGCAAGCATACGACTTTGTCTATGACGAACCGTGGATCCTTTCACGAGCTAGTCTGGAACGTTGGGATTGTGAAGGGCACAGCCACATGGAAGAGTCATCGCGTGGATTGGTGAGGGCGGTACGATCGAAGGCTGACAGCAGAGCGCCCTTCTCGATTTGGCTACATCTTTGAGAACGAGACACCGTATTGCTACGTCTTTACTGAGAACTCAGTTTTGCGCATTTGCAAGTGTGTAGCCTTGCCGGCATGACGTAACAGTGAGTTTTTAGCGCGATCGTCCAGGAACAAGGGTCTCGATCGCGGCTTCGACATTGTGACAGCCGCCACTGCGAGTGCCGAACATTCGCCAGAGATATTCGTTGGCTTCAGCAACACTTGCTCGTCGTTCTGTCAATCAAGATTCCCACCATCATGGCTGAAAGGCCAGCAACCCCACCAAGAGCCACCCGCTCAGCGGGCAAGCTGCCGCCAAACCCTCCAACACCCGAGCAGATCAGGCGAATGGTGAGATGCCAGAATGCACGGTACGGTCACATACTAACACGTCCCAGGAAGAAGCCAGACTGCGAGCCAAAGCCCAAGCCCAGCAAGCCCAAGCATCACGACCCTCACCCGCTCCCGTCGCAGGCACAAAACGCGCCTACTCCTCCCTAACCTCATCCACGACTCCTACACAATCTCGCAATGCCAGCTCCGCCCAAGCACCAGGGGGCTTCACACAACCCCCTTCCAACTCGTACATCCACCAAAGCAAAAGCAAAGACATCAAGCGCTCCGACTTTATCGACTACGACTTCAGCACCATGACCGACACGAAAGGCGGTTTCCTCAGCACCACGGACGACCCGCATAACCGCGCCATGTGGACGGGCAAAAGCCGCGAGGAGCAGAAACCGGAGGGCATGACGCTGGTCGAGTGGGAGCGCGAGCAGGTCCGCAAGAAGCTACGGGAGGCACGAGCAGGGCCATATGAGCCCGGTATCTCGATCCTGAACGCCGTGAACGGGAAAGACGAGGCCGAGGACGAGGACGCCGCGCTTTTAGAGGCCGCCGAGAACGCAGAGATAGAAGCCGGAACATACAAAGGCAAATATGGCGACGGAAAGAAAGACGTACCTGGCAAGTGCCGCGAATGTAACGGTCTGGAGATCGACTGGAAATGGGCGGATACATTTCACATCAGCATCTGCAGTCGCTGCAAGGAGCTCTACCCAGATAAATACAGCTTGCTCACCAAGACCGAGGCTCGTGACGATTACCTACTCACGAACCCCGAGCTCGCGGACGAGGATCTCCTCCCGCATCTCGAGAAACCCAACCCGCATAAGACGAGCTTCCACAACATGCAGCTCTTCCTAAGACTGCAAGTCGAAGCCTACGCTTTCAGCACCAAGAAATGGGGATCTGCAGAAGCATTGGACGAAGAGTACGAGAAGAGAACGAAAGTAGCGAAGCAGCGCAAGGAGAAGAAGTTCAAGAATAAGCTGGAGGATCTGAAGCGACGGACGAGAGTAGAGGCATATAAGAGGGCGAGACTCGGAGGTGGTGGGGACGCAGAGTTCGGGCAGAAGATCAAGGGGCGGTACGACAAGCACGAGCATGAATGGGGTCGAGGCGTGTTGAATCCAGAGACGGGTATGGAGAGGAAGACATGTGTGGAGTGCGGGATGGAGGTTGAGGAGTTGGAATTCTGAGACTGGGCAGGTCAAACATTCAACCCTCCGCCGACACTCCACGACTTTTGAACACACCGACAAAGGCAAAAAGAATCGCGTCTCTCCAACGTTGATAAGTCTAGTCCGACCCATTGCAATGAGGTGGGTACTGTGCGCACGAGCCACCACAAAATCCACCCTCCCGCCCACCACCTCCACAGCGACTCAGCACATCTTCGAGACACCTACAAGGGCAAAAAGAATCGTATCTCTCCGACGGGGAATCGAACCCCGGCCTCCTGCGAGCTGTCCTGTGGATGACAAGCAGAAATACTGACCACTATACTATCGAAGATATCCAATCTTGAGATTGGGAAGAGACTTGATTGGTCGATGGAGAACTCAGCAGTTATACGCAATATATACTGTGCGTTTCGAGAAGGGAGTAGCGTAGTGCGCAAGACGCTTCAGGTTCATGGTCTGTCTGCGTTGGGATGGGGCGAGGGGGGCTGCTAAGATTTTAAAGACGAGATACCCAAACAAGCAATATGCCCACATAAAGCATGTCTAGGCATTGTCGGCTTTACCGTCATCTGGTACATAAGGTTCCACCGAGTCGCTAACGCTCGACTCCTGAAGCGATGCTACGCTGGCAGTACTTGAGACATGATAAACACCAGGCAGTGTATTCTTCCACGCATAAAAATCTCGAGACTCGTAACTTGCCAGACTCACACCGCATTTCGGCGTCCTGACAACACCGTCGACGGCGCCTCGTTCGCTTGAGATCCTCACCGACGCATCAGAGTTGCCGTATAGCTTGGAAGTGTTAAGCTCCGATGCTACAAAGGGAGCTGACGAGGTTGATGTCGCTTCAGAATGCGCAGGACTCGTGAGGGCTGAAAAAGCCCACTGTTGGGAAGATACGCGCACTAGTTGAAACGTGGAAGACATCGAGTATTGCTAGGACATGCGTTGTATTAACTATTACTATGCTGCCGGAGAGCGTCTGCTCTGGGGTATATTGCTGAAATCACTTTTGGTCGTTGAGTTTCCTCCTTGCCTTGCTCTGCAGATCCTGGAGTCCTGGCATCTTCCTTATGCACTCTCGTCCTCCTTGTGCAGAGGGCTGTGCCATCGTCTATGCCAACACCACGCGGGTTTCGACATGTTCATATGCGGCGAGTAAGCAACAGGAGCTCACTGCACCCTCACGCCCCCGATAGCCGCGGGTCTCCCCGCGCCGTGCGTCGCCTCATACGCGGCGTTGACGCTGCGATGGTGCTCTGCGGCGGCTACCTTGACTTGCTTCCAGAGTTTCCTGATCGACGAGTTGAGGTTCCTCTCCGTCTTGTTGTTCAGGTTGACGAAGTGGTGGGCGTCGTGCTGCGAGTCGTGGCTGACGCGTCTTGACTGAGTGACGGGCGTGGACACGATGGAAGAGGAGTTCGATGTTGTCCTTGGGCCAGAGGAAGAGGAGAGGGAAAGGACGCGTGGGTGTGAGTCCATGTTCGACATTTTGCGGTAGGCGATGAGGTCGTACTCGAGCATTTGGTTTGTGATTGATGTGTGTTGTGGTGGTAGAGGGGTGGCCGTTCAAGGTCGTAGGTTGTGTTTGCTCGAATTGTATTTGTGGTATTGAGGCTTGAAATGTGATGATGTCTACCAGCCCGTTTTCTTAGGAGCATTATATACTTTTGGAGCCTACGAGAATTTTTCACCCCGTCGTCTCCAGATCTCACGATCCCGCCTCCATCACGGCACCATACTTCACGTGCCAGCGTGACCTATGTTGCGCACTCGTGTACATGTGGGTCCTGTTACTCGATCAGTGTAACGCTGTGAAGTCCAGAAGCTACGCTTGACAGCTGCGCAGGGCGTGGAAATGGTTCGACGTCATGGATCTGTAAAGAAGAGCCTCAAGGACTGAGGGCTAAGCTTAATCCGGGTATTCCGCCATGGCGCGAACCTGTTATGGAAGTGTGTTGGTGGTTTGGTGGTGAGACGTGAAACTCGGCTGCGCTCGGCCTAGCGTCTACAGGGCGTGAACTGTTAAGCCGAGCAGTCTCTGCGCACCATCGAACAAAGCCTCGTGAGCTTGACACATGTTGCTGCCGTTAAAGGCATTTTGTTTGTCATAGCCGCCCAGACGAAAATTTCGGAGTTGCGGTCGTGTCGCCGCGCGCAACAAAGATTGGTTCCTGGGCTAAAGATGCGGCTTAAAAAAGCATCGAACTTTCGGGAACGTGCACCCAAGTTCGTGTGCATTGTGAGACGGGAAACAATGTCATGCCTTGCCGTCGGTGAGCATGCATTTGCATTGTTCTTGTTGAGACTTCTGCCTGGGTATCTGATTGTCATAACTTCATAGCGGTGTGAATAGCCGTCAGTACAATGTATCCGCCTGGTATCTTCTTTCGCCTCCAGCCTTCAGTCGTTTGCGTCGATGCCGAACTCATCTTGAACTTCTACTATCCTTACACCGCGCTGGTCAGCAATCAGTCCCATGAGCCCTTGCCCGACGTCCTTTAGCTCGTTGTACTCATGCAGCAGCTTGATGTGTTCCTTGACGATCTTGTTGGCCGCAGCCATGATCTCTGCTTCCGTGGGCTCGCCATCGTTATCAAACATATCGACATCGTTCTCCATGAGCACCTGGATGGCCGGTTGAACCCTCAGTAAGCTAAGCAACGCGACTTTTTGAGCCCTGAGCTCGGCTAGTGTGACTTCCTGTGGACTCAGCTTTGCTGCTGGGGCTGTGGACTGCGATCCCGCCTGAACTTCGGGTGTCTTGGACCCTACGTTCTGATTGTCTATGGTGTTCTGAGATCCTTCGCTTGGCGCCCGGGGAGAAGCGTCATGTGGAGTAGACGACTCAGTAGCAATATTATGCTGGCCTTGACTCCCTCCAGATGACGCTAGATCAGGAGCTTTTGGTAGTGCGTCTAAGCCCGCAGGGTCTGGGTCCATAACTGTATCTGGTGCATATTGGCTAGCAGCTACAGTCGCCTCTGAGATTTTCGTAGGAGCGGCATATGGTGCATTGATCTGTCCGGCGTGTAAGTGGAAGTCACAAATCAAGTTTTGTCAGACCGACTGTAGCCTCGTGGACAAGACCACAGCTGGGCCCTGCAGCCGAAGCTTCATTCCCAGCAGCAGCTGAATCCTGCTGAGGAACGGCAAAAGCTTCATCAGCTCGGGCGAGATCTTGTTTGCTGTTAGGTGATAGTTCGCTGAATACCTCTAGACTCGATGCTGTAGGTGAGGTTTCTGCACCTCTTATGCTACCGTCTGTAGCGATGCGGATGCCTTGCTGGTATGCACCAGCTGCATGTACACTTGCTTGTGGAGGTGCATCTGTTTGCAACGAAGTCTCCTTGGGGGCGCACACGCTGACATCGTTAATTGCTGTCTTCTGCGTTGATGAATCAGATTGGTCATTGTGTGTTGACTCGATGTCTATCGAATATTTCTCTTGATCGATATCCAAGACATGAGTGCAAGCTGAGGCTTCATTGGCACTGTGTTCAGCGACTTCTTGGTGAGGGCAGGCCACGGCTTGGGCGTCTTGACCAGCAGTCGCGGACAGCTTGTTATCGACTGTCTCTGAAACAGCAGCAGGCGAAGACGTCAGTGGCTCCTCTTCACTATCGACAACCTCGGTGATGCCCGTGCCGACCGCCATGTTGCTACAGGGGGAGTGGAATGTGATGCAGCTCGGAGAATACTGGTGTTCGGCCGGAGGTGGCGGAAAGGGCAGCCAATGACGAGGGCGCCTTCCCTTCACGTAAGCAGTAGATTGCGACGCGGCATCAACAGGGTCCTCGAAGGCGACGACGCTTTCTCCTGTAATTCTTTCTAGCCGCGCCCGGGAACGTTCGCAGAGACTTTTCGACGACGCCGTTACATGTCGAGTGACGCCTGAGCCTCCACGCCGGAGCTACGAAGTTGCTCAATACCTGCGAAGCCCGCGCATTCAGCTCTATTCAAACCAAAGATGGGAGCGATTATGCGGCGCGCTGCCCTCACAGCAACCCTGCTGTTCAGCACAGCAGCCACAGCACACGAGCATCATGTGAACAAGATAGCAGAGGGCGAAGTCATATCACAGGACCCAATCGACTCGATACTATGGATACATATCTTAGTGCAGGGGTTCGCCTGGGGGATCATCTTCCCCACAGGAATGGTCTTGGGTGTAAGACTGCTAAAAGGGAGCACACATGGTCAGCATGCTAACAGACCTAGATAATACGCTCCAAATGGCACGTACCCGTGCAAGTCACCGGCTCCGTTCTCGCAATCATTGGCTACTTTCTGGGTCACAAACACAAGGGCAGGCAATTCACCGAAGACAACGTCCACGCCAAATTTGTCCCTATCATCATGCTTATGTTGATCGCGCAAATCATCATGGGTGTCTACTTGAAGCTACACCTCGAGAAGGGTATACACGGCAAGATTCGCAGGGTGGTCGTCATTGGGCATGGAGTGGTGGGAAAGGCATTGCCTGTTATAACTTGGGTGCAGTTCGTCTTTGGAGGCATCACTGCGCTCGGATTCTGCAGGGCTGATCACACCGGCCAATGTCTTGCTCACTTCATCATGGGCAGCGCTTTTATCGCGTATGGAATCATTCTCATCATCCTGCTGCTCGTGGGACAGATGTGGCTGAAGCGGACCGGTCGTAGCCAAGAATTTTTCGATTCACTTGTCATTGCAGCCTGGGGCTGCGTCAACACCTTCACCGAGCACAGGTGGGGTGGGCCTTGGGTGCACAATGACTTGCAACATACGTCCATGGGCATCATCTGGTGGGCAGCCGGTCTGGTCGGTGTCTGGCTCAGCCGCAAGAGGAACGGACAACCAAAGCGCAATCTCATTCCTGGCATGGTCATCTTCGTTACCGGTTGGGCCATGTCAGCTCATCCGCAGCACCTGCCCATCTCGACTATGATCCACACCGTATTTGGCTTCACACTCATGGCTGCCGGTGCTGCGCGCATGATCGAGATCGCTTTCGTCTTGAGGGACCGCAGTGCTGTTACCAACAATCTGGAGGATCCTGACCCGAACAGTTTCCAGTATCTCACGCCTTTCCTGCTCATTGCTGGGGGTTTCCTCTTCATGGGTGCCACTGAAGAGCAGATGCAGATGCTAGCGGATGCAAACGTTACGCACGTCTCTTACGTCCTGATCCTGTTCAGCATGGCTTTCCTCATGTTCCTTTGTAAGCCCAATCTACCTATCCGCCTCGGACAGCTCACTAACAGCTCACTCAGTCGCCAATCTTCTTATCCATCTCTACGCCGTCCACGCCTTCCAAGACTCGAAAACTGACGCTGAGACGCCCCA